CCAACCCCTCTGAAAGCTGCCAAAGTTGGAGTTGGACTGCGTCAAGAGTGCAGTACGTTTGCCCAAACGATTTAATCTGTAACTTCAACGCTAGTTTCTCGTTGCTTGTGAAGACCTGCTTGGAATTTGGGGTAGTTTTAAATGCATCCTTGCCTTGCTGCATTTGAGACCATCGCAACAGCAGAAGGAGGAAGGCCGAGCAGAGCCTATTTTTTACCATTAATAGGGCCGCTCTGTCTAGAGCATCACTGAACATGTGCAGAATATTTTTCCACTGCACTGTTTCAGCATGAGTAAGACCTTATGAAATATTCTGCTTTAAGCAATCCTTTCTGCCTGCAGTATGCGGTCGCTAAGGGTCGACACCGATTTGAAGGCACATAATCAATCAATGTTCGTGAGTTTTCTGATCCCACCCGATTTATATTCTAGATTTTGGTGGAATGAGTAATTTATGGGGGGGAAAAGGCAACACGAGATTAATATTCGCAAATGCATTGCGTTCCGTATTTAGGGTCATTTTGTTTCCTTGTGGATTGATTATCTAAATGCATAAACCTGGTTCCAGTTCTGGAAACGAACCTGACAAAATACAGTCGTGTCTTTGAACATCTGCAGAGTGCATTTCTATTACACCCGGAATCAACTTGTCTTCAGCTGTCTGCAAGATTTTATGAAAAGAAAGGTAGAAAGAGCAGCGTTCTATTAAAGCAATATTAGGGAGGAAAAGTTAAAAACAAAAAAAACCCCGCAAACTGTCCCCCAAAAGCGACTAAGAAGTTGTTCGATGCTGCAGTCAGTACTCGTTTTTGAAATTCTCCCCAATTTCACCCCGTCCCACGCGCTGCAGCCGCCAGGTGGTTGTGCTAGAGGTAAAGCGTTAACGAGACATTGGCCGGATGTGCTGTCAGCAGGGAGGGCGGGTGAAGCTCGGGCGGGAAAGCCGGCGCCATGGCTGCCGTAGACTGCATCCTGAAACTAGGAGGCAGCGCATTGACGCAGAAAAACCAGTTGGAGACGCTGAAAACGGAGTCCGTGCGGAGGGCGGCTGCTGTCGTCTCTAAGCTCTGGGAGGCTGGACAAAGACGGTGCATAATCGTGCACGGCGCCGGGTAGGAACTCCGGGCGGCGCAGCGGAGGATTCTGGCCCTCTGAGCCAGGGCGCCAAGGGAGCGATGTCAGTTCCTCCTAATCTGGCGGCTCGGGATAAATTGGACCTCAGTTCCCATCATTCCCAAACAGTATGCTTGTTGCCCGTGGTGGCTGCGGATGAAGGTGGCTGAAGTCCCACGCAGCTGGAGGGCACCACGTTAGGGAAGGCCGCGGAGTGAGTCCCCTTGACTTGAGAGGGCGGTTGAGCTATGTTTAAATTTGCACCGGCAGCAGATAAACCCTGTAATGGAGCCGTGCATATGTTTGCCTGTTAGGAGGTCCCCGCTGTGCCCAGTGAATCTTATTCCTGGGACCGCAGCAGGGGAATGCGCTTGAGCTGCGTCTAACGGGACTTCCTGCTAAACGTGCATAGAATCAAACTATGCAGCATGGACTGGCCTCATGCTTTGAGAAAAGGGGGAAAAAAGGAACCTTTTAAAGAAATATGACAAATGTTTTTTAAAACTTTTCTAGTTTAGTAATTGCATGGCTTTTGATAATCCAGCAAGCTTCGTAATGTTGATGGGAAAAACAGTGGAAAATAAAGGGAGAAAAATCTCTGGATTACAGAGTTCAGAAGGCAGAAAACAAAGTTAATAACAAATGGAGGAGACTAACTATGTATGTTTTCTTATAAATAAGTCCTCAACATGCTCTGTGGATTTATTCCCAGGGAATGTGTGGAATAATTTAGGGGCACCAACCCTTTTCTAGGGCTACAAACTTAGGCATACTTGTATGGGAATAACTCCTGTTAAGTCATGGTTTGCTTAACCATGGTTTATTGAAGAAACCATAAAGGGCTAGATTCAGAGAAGATGTTAATCCTAAATCATAGATTGCTAACCCCAGTGGTGGGGCATGGATAGTGTGCCAAGCTGAGCAGAGCAGGGCTTCCTACCCAGCTGCGGTGACCTGTGGGTGGCCTTATGCCCCATGTTAACACTAATGGAGTGTTCCTAAACCGTGCTGGTCCTTCATTAGCATTAAGCTACATGCAATGTAGTGAAGTAAAGCTATTTCACTTCTCATATTTTAAGGACTGTTTTATAAACATGTGCGTGCCAGTTTTTATTTTCACGTAAAACTGTGAAAAACAATACTGATAGTCACAAGCTGTCCCTTTTAAAATAACCTTGCTAAGATTCAGGAAGAATTCAAATCTGCTAGGCCTCTATAGAATGCTGTGCTGTCCTCTACAGGAGCTTCTGGTAGTTATCAATGGATCCTAGGTGATGAAAAGGGAATTCAATTGGTTCTGGGTTTCTTCACCTCTAGTGTAGTGCCTTGAATGCTTGTCCTTTTTCTTGGAGCTGAATGTAAAATTGCCCCAGTGTTCTGTTTCTCTCAGCCTACTAGAGTAGGTTATGTTTCATGAAAAGTAATCCAGTTCAGTGGTCTTGACTGGTGGTACCTCTGCCACGTTACAGGCTTAAATATAGCCTAGATCAGGCACAGGATAGGGGTCTCAAATTGTCCCATGTGCCGCATGAAGCTAATTTATTGGCTCAAGGGCCACCTCATTAAATCCTCTCCACGCACTGATACAAAAGTGTCTGGTGAGTTGAAAATGATGAAAATGAAGAACGTAGTGGTATGCCACTGAACATTAATTTATTAAATAAAAACTCTTTATCACACAAAAGCTGCTTTTTTGCCATTTCAGTTCGGCCACTGACCTGGCAACATTTTTCATTAGCCAGAACACCAATATTTGGTTTGGTTGTTGTTGAATAGCAGTATCAAACCCTTGAACCTAATCATATGAAACTTGGCAGGATTTCAGGACTATGCCTGAAAATTATTTCCACTTTTGCCAGGAAAAAAAAATGACATTGGCATTTCTCTTTAAAGGAAAAAAACAACAACACCTATTTGACATGAATCCCTCTCCCATTAGAAATACAATTTCTGAAAATGTAGCTTAATTTCAAATTACTTTTAATGGACAGTAGATTAAAATTGTTTAAATCAACGCATTCTATCAAATGGGAAAAAAGCCGTTGCCATTTGGTAGTTCCTCATTACAACTAATGGGGAAGCATGGCGGTTTGGGGTTTTAAATCAAGTTTAGGATTTGAGCCTAAACTGAGTATTTTATTTTTGAAGTGGTCCGGTCTTTTCAAATAACCCTAATCAGGGTCCAAACCTCTAACAATACAATTTCTCAGGTGACTCTTCTTGGCTGGAAATGTTTTCTTGCCAATAAATTGTTGCAAGGGGCATGAACCACACTTCTGTGCAGTAAACTCAGCAGCTCTAATTTAGTAAATATGAAGCAGGCTATATTTGATATATAAACATATGTGATATTTGACTCACATCCTCCTGATGACTAATGGCCTATTTATTTAATAAAAAAAAACTTTACCATGTGTTTGAAGTGAAAGCAAACATTGTTTACAATGGCAAACAAAGAATGGAGTAAAAACTCCTCGGTTTACATCATAGTAGAGAGCTTTGTGGATATTTCCTGAGAGTTAAATATTTCTTTAAAAGGAGTTGAGATGCTTCTTCATTGCCAATGTGCCCTTTGGCAGATCAGTTGTGTCTTCAGAGTTCTAAAAATCTGGGCAAGTGATGGAGAAAAGTAGGGAGAGGAAAGTCACTCAGGTACTGTTCAGGCAGCAGGAGAAGCACTGCTGGAATTAAGGCAACAGCATGAAGATTTTGTCAGGCACAATGGATGCAAAGCCAAGAAGAAACAGCTCCATGCCCAGATAGGGCAGGCAAGAGATCCTCACCATGCACTAAGGTGTTGTCACAGCTGGGGCCAGGGCTGAGACCTGTTCCAGTGGCACTGCCAAGTTTCTTCTTGCTCTGGATGTAGCGAGGGAAAATGCAGCTATAAACCTGGATCAAACAGGCCAAGGGAAGGCTGCACTGAGGTGTCTTCAGTGTCCTAGCTTGGAGCCTCACAAATAACCATGGTGGCACCACAGCGGTGGTGGCTGTGATGGCACTTTGATGCAAGGCTAGGGATGCAGTTGTCTTTTGGCCTGCTGTCCCCAGGCACAGAGCTTCATTTTAGTGGCTAACCTAAGGGAGGATTCATAGTGTATGTTCAAGATTACCAAGGTGCTGCCCAACTTCTGTCCCTTGTTCTCCTGTTATCTATATGTGGGCTGCAGAAAATTACTTGGAGGGCCACCTGTGGGTGACAAATTTGAGATCTCTGATCTACATGTTCAGCTATACCGTGACAACTTTCTGCTTAAATGTTCCTTTGCGGAATAGATTTCTCTCTGATGTGTCTCAAAATATTTCATTTTCTGAAGGTCAAAAGTCAAATGACGTTTCCCTCTTTTCTCATATCCTGGCATGGTAATGAAAATATAGAAATATGTTAATTGACAATCTCAAAATGTATCATCACATCCTGTCAAATAGTAAGAGCAGTCTGCTTGTTGCTACTAAAATGAAATAAATTGATGCTTCAGATATTTTAAGTTATATTTAGCATATGATGTGTTTGTTTACTGGCCTTGAGTTTCCTCCTATTGAAATTTACTTCTTGAATAAACCTCACAAAGTGGTGGATTATCTGGTATTCAGTTATTTATTTTATGGCACAGGATTAATGGCAGCAAAGCTCCTGAAATGAAAGAAAGTATTAACATGAGATCTTTACAGAGACAGCAAGCTGCAAATTATGCTCTATAATCCCAGAATCAATGGACATGGAAAGTAAGTGGCAGTGGTGGTGGTGTCAAATTCAAGTAGCCGTTCCAAGCTTGAGCTGATTGGGATCATAACAATGATGTTGATGACATTCAACTCTATTTCATAGTTAGATCAGAAACAACAGAAGCTAGGCAGATTTAGATCAGGATGGGGCTGCTCCAGTGGGGTGGATGAGGGCCAATAAATTGAGCTGAGTGAAACATGGATAACAGCGAAGAAGGCAAACAGAAGAAACCAACAGAAGAGAATATATGTAGCTCAGGGTTGAACTTTGGAGGTCCACCCTGAGCACTGATGTTCAGTGGAGGTCCACCCTGAGCACTTAGTCGGGTAATGAAATATCTTCAAGCAAACAACCAAGCCCAGAGAGCACCAAGGGCTCCACAGAAGAAACCAAGCTTTACAGGTTGTCCCTAAATGTATTTATCTGAAGGAATGTCTGGTGTCTAACAATTTTTTTTTTTTTTGGTGCAATAGCTTTGATGAAGTAAATTGACTCTTTCCCTCATCCAGACATGGTGAATGAAACCCAGTCAAGAAGGACGGGCAATGTGCATCACTGAGATTATCCTTGACAATGGAAATTACTCTGAAATCCATTGAGAGTCATTACATACCTTCAAATAAATATCTTTCTGATATCCTACAAGACTTGGCCAAGTCCTGATAAGATTGGTGGATGAATAACTCCCAGACTTGGAAAATAGATAGTTCTTTTCTTGAAGGATCAGATACATTGCTTGGGGGCCTTTGGATATTGCTGAATTCTAACACCATCTAGTCCTAAGTCAGTGTTGTCCAAACTTGGCCACTTTAAGATGAGTGGACTTCAACTCCCAGAATT